GGATTGTGTGTTTTATGGTACATTGTTGTTATTCGTTTTTTTTATGTGATATTTCTTTTCAAATATTTTTGTGTAATGGTTACGTTTTTCTTTGTTTCTCTATATATATCTTTCAGTTTCTGTATCTCTCTTTCTCAGTACATCAATCAGTTCATCAATCTCTCAATCTCTCAATCTATCTCTCTCTCACCCCCCCCTCTCTCTCTCTCTCTCTCTCTCTCTCTCTCTCTCTCTCTCTCTCTCTCTCTCTCTCTCTCTCTCTCTCTCTCTCTCTCACTCTCTCTCTCTCTCTCTCTCTTCCCTACCCCGCCTTCTTATCCTTCTCTTCATCCCCTTGTACCCCTCTCCCCCTCTTATACCCTCTCTTTCCCCCCTCCTCTCTCATCCCTCTCACCTCCCCCCCCCCCCTCTCTCTCTCATTCCCTGTCCCACCGCCTCTGATCGAGTTATCGGCGCCAGAGATCCTCATTAAACCCCATTACACAGAGAGGCTCTTCCCTGATATCCGGCATTCCCACGGGCTCTGTCTCCCGCGACGTCATCAGTACGTCACCGAGGAGGATCTTTCAGACTCCCCCGACGGCTAGATGGACTCAATTTTTACTCATGGTGGTTACTCATGGGTGGAACTCATGGTAGGTGGAGAGAGTTGGAAGGGGTTCGACGGGGGAGGGGTGGTGGTGGTGGGTGGGTGTGTGTGTGTGGGGGGGGGGGTTAATGAAGTCACGGGTGGTTAGTCGCGATTTTTAGGATGCTTATGGATTCATGGGTTGATGATGAGTAAATTGGGGCATTCAGTGGGTTACTCACGTTCGTTGACTCACGAACTCGATGACGAATGGGAATTTTCTTACTCATGGGTTACTCAAGCCAGTCGGTGCACTCACGAGCTCATAATCTAAACTAATCTAACTCATGAATTAATCACACTTACTCACAGTACTCATGAAATCACAGCCTAAAAACGACGAAGTAACGAATACACTCAACGAATTACTCATGCCACTCACAGACTCACGAACTCACAGCTCAACGAACAATCTCACCGACTCAACTCATGAGTGACTCACGAATTCGCTCCAAATACTCACGAACTCACAGCTCAACGAACAATCTCACTAACTCAAATCATGAATGACTCACGCCTGCTCCAAATACTCACGAACCATCTCACCGATTCTAACTCACGAATGACTCATGAATTTCGTTCCAAATCCTCACACGAATTCGCGAATTACTCACGTTTTTCATCCCGCCCATCTGGTGCACTGCGTTCGGATGGTTGAACGGTGGCTTCGTCAAGTAGGCGTTGACGTTGGCGGCGAAGTGTTCGAACGAAGGGGAAGGTGACGGCATAACACCTGCGGGGGGGGGGGGGGGATAGGTGAAGGTAAATATACCGATTTAGATAAACAGGCGAATTGAGAGATAGATAAAATGGATAGATTGATAGATAGATAGATAGATAGATAAATAGATTGATTGATTGCCTGATAGATAGATAGAAATGATTGATAGATAGATGCATGGGTAGATAAATAGACAGATGTATGGACAGACAGATAGACAGATGACAGAGAGATATATAGGTAGGTAAATGGACAAAGATATGTATAGATAGATAGGTGAATACATAGATATATAAAGATATATGATCCGATAGACAGATAGAAAGATTGTTGCTTAGACAGATAGATGGATAGAAATGAAATGATAAATAAATAGATAGTTGAATGGTTTGACAGGTAGACATTCGGTTAGAGAGAAAGGTAGACTTAAAAGATAAACTGACAGCTAGATAGAAAGATAGACAGATGGATAGAGAGAGAGGGATTTATAGAGGTGAAGATACAGACATAAACAGATAACTGAATTGATAGATAGGTTAAAAAAAGCGTCGGTAGACAGAGAGACAGATAGATGAATAGAAAGATATGTAGACAGATAGATGAACTGATAGATAGATCTAAAGATGGATGTAGAGATATATGAATAGAAAAATATATTGATAGATGTATAGAATGTTGTTCGGATAGACAGGTAGACAGATGGATAGAGAGATATATAGACAGATATACGAAATGATAGATATATAGATAGATAGATAAATTGATAGATAGATATAAAGTTGGATGGATGGACAGGAAGACATATGTGAATAGAGAGAGATTTAGATAGATAGATTTAGGTAGATGGATAGAAAGATATACAGATAGATAGAAGGGTAAAGAAATATGTAGATATGCAGATTGATGGATAAAGAGATATATAGAGATACAGATAGACAGACGGAGAGTCAGATACATATATACATACATCAAAAATGGCTATATAGGTAGATCCTTGGATATAGGTAGACAGATAGATTGATAGCTACATAGACAGACAGGTAGGTAGATAGATATAGAGATGAATATAAATATAAACATAGACAGATAAAGACGGAGAGAGAGAGAGCGAGAGTGAGAGAGAGAGAGAGAGAGAGAGAGAGAGAGAGAGAGATACAGAGATAGAGAAGATTGATCAATTATCATTCAATTTTTTCCTTTCTGTAATAAGGTCTCATATTTCCACCATCAGGGCAAAGTAATACAATATTTCCAATAAAAGTATATATTTTCGTTACTAGATAGACAGACAAATTGATAGTTAGATAGACAGGGAGATAGACAGACAGACAAATTGATAGTTAGATAGACAGGGAGATAGACAGGCAGACAAATTGATAGTTAGATAGACAGGGAGATAGACAGGCAGACAAATTGATAGTTAGATAGACAGGGAGATAGACAGGCAGACAAATTGATAGTTAGATAGACAGGGAGATAGACAGACAGACAAATTGATAGTTAGATAGACAGGGAGATAGACAGGCAGACAAATTGATAGTTAGATAGACAGGGAGATAGACAGGCAGACAAATTGATAGTTAGATAGACAGGGAGATAGACAGGCAGACAAATTGATAGTTAGATTGACAGGGAGATAGACAGGCAGACAAATTGATAGTTAGATAGACAGGGAGATAGACAGACAGACCAATTGATAGTTAGATAGACAGGGAGATAGACAGGCAGACAAATTGATAGTTAGATAGATAGGGAGATAGACAGACAGACAGATAAACACATAGATAAACATGTAGACAGATAGAGAGATAGACAATTGGATAGATAGATAGACAGACGGATAGACAGACAGACAGAGATAGATAGAGAGACAGATAAACAAACATGTAGATAGACAGACAGACAGTCAGAGAAATAGAAAAACAGACAGACAGACAAGCAGATAAATAGATAGACAGATAGATAGATATACGGCCAGACAGACGGAGATAGAGAGAGAGACAGACAGACAGACAGACATACAAACACATACATCCAGATAGACAGACAGATAGACAGACAAACAGACACACACATATAGATAGATAGATAAGCATTTATTTTTTTTTTATTTTTTTTTTTTTTTTAATTTGGAGAATAACTCCAAATTCAGCTTTTCGAGGCACCACTTGTCTTGCAAACTTTACGAAGATGGTCCCTGTAACCTTATCAAAGACCCGGATGCGAAAGAAATCAATAGGGTGGAAAAGAGGAGGAGGAGGAGGAAGAAGGAAGGAGGGGAAGGATGAGGTGGTGGAGGAGGAGGAGGAGGAGGAAGAAGGAGGAAGAAGGAGGAGAAAGAGGAGGAAGAGGAGGTTGAGGAGGTGGTAGAGGAGGAGGAGAAAGAGGAAGAGGAGGAGAAGAAAGAGGAGAAAGAGAAAGAGGAAGAATAGGAGATGGAGGAGGGGAAGGAGAAAGAGGAAGAAGAGGAGATGGAGTAATAGGAGAAAGAGGAAGAGGAGGAAGAGAAAGAGGAGGTGAAGAAAGAGGAGGAAGAGAAAGAGGAGGAGGAGGAGTTGAAGTAAGAATAGGGGGAGAATAAAAATAATAACAGTATGGAGGAGGAGGAGAGATGGAAGATGAGAAGAGAATAATGATAATAACAAGTAAGTAAAAGAGAAGGAGGAAGAGGAGAGAAAAAAAAGTAGGAGGAGGAAGAAGATGGGTAATAATAAGAACGATTACAAGGATGATGAACAGGAAGAGGAGAGGAAGGAGGAAGATGAAAGGAAATAACAATGATAAAAAAAAGGAGAAAGAGAAAGAAGAAGAAGAAGACGACGGAAGAGAAAAAATAAGAAAAATGAGGAGGAAAGAAAAAAGAAAAGAGAAAAGAAGCATCAGAACGTAAGAAAAATATAAAAAAAAGAGAAAAGAGAAAAGCAGTCAAACAAACTTTAACAAATATAGATATAAAGAAAAGGGAAAGAAAATACATATACAGACATAATGAACAAATAAACGCATGAAATAGATAATAAATGAATTAACAAAGAAAGAAAACAAAAGAAATAAATAAAGATAAATGAATGAACAAAGGATGAAAGAAAAAACAAAGAATGAAAGAAAGAAATCAAAAAAGAAAGAACCAATCAATCAAACAAAAAAATAACAAAAAATAATCACAAACAAACAATTTTTAAAAATCAGTCACTAAAACATACAAAAAAAAATCACTCAAAAAAATCAGTCACTAAAATAAAACATAAATAACGAAAAAAAAAAATCACTAACACAAAAAATCCAGTCACTAAACCAAACAAACAAAAAAAATCAATCACACACAAAAAAATCAGTCCCTAAAACAAAACAAAAAACAATCACTCAAACAAAAAATCAATCAATAAAACAAAACAAACCAAAAAAAAAGGTACAAAAAAAGTGCATTTAGAAACAAACGCAAAAGAAAGCACGCCACCCACCTAGAAAATTTTGGAAGGCATCTTGCACCGTGGAATTCGTGTGTTCATTCAGGAGATCGCGAAGGTATTTGTGCGGTTTGTTCCTGTCGTATTGGCTCAGCGCGACGCCCACCACGAAGTATTCACCTGCGGGGAGTCAAATCGTGGGCGTGAATAGGCTTGGGAGAGAGAGAGAACTGGGCAGGGAGGGTGGAGGGGGGAGGTTGGGTGGGGAGAGGTGGGAGGAGGGTGGGTGTGAGGATGGGGGGAGGGGGAGGTTGAGCAGGGAGGGTGGAGGTGGGCGGGGAGGGAGAAGTGAGATGGGGGAGGAGATGGGTGGGGGAGAGCTGGGAGGAGGGAGGAGGTGTGTGGGTGTGGTGGGTGTGAGGATAGGATGAGGGAGAGCTGGGAGGGGGGTGGTAGGAGGAGGGAGGAGGGAAGGTGGTGGGTGTGATGGGTATGAAAATGGGTGGAGGGGAGATAGAGAGTGGGAGGAGGTAGAGGGGGAAAGCTTGGAGGAGGGAGAGGGAAGAGGTGGTGGGTGGGTGGGTGGAGGGGAGGTAGAGCGTGGTGGGTGACAGGGAAGGGGTAGATGGGTGGGCGGGTGGGTGGGAGGTGATGGGGGCTAGTGGAGGGGGCAGGGTGGGTGGAGGAGGGGGGGTGGGGGATGGAGTGGGGATGCGTGTGGTGGAGAGACAAGTGAAACATGAAACCGAAGAAAGTATTAGGAGACAAAATACGATAATGCATATAATTCTTTGACGGATAAAAAAAAAGAAAAAAAAAGACACAGAACAGAGAAGAATGAAAATGAACGATAACGTGACATTAAATGAAAACTAAAGAAAAAAAATACACCTCTTTTTGCGGATATGTCATTCGTTGAACTGTAATAAAAAAAAAACGGATTAAAGAAAGGGCTTAACCTCATACCAGTTTCTTCAAGGAGAAAGTTCACGTAAATGTTTCGTGGGATTTTCTTACCAATGCATTTGAACGAGAGTAATGAACATTGGTGCTTCTTTATCTAAATAAAAACTAAATAAAAAATAAAATAAAATAAAAAATATATATATTTTTAAAGAGACGCAATAAAAAGGTAAAAAGGTACTTATATAGGTACAGGGAGACACAGGCGCACATCACATATACTCATGCAGACGTGTCCTCACAATATACACGAATAAATACAAAAAAATAAAATAAAATAAAATAAAAATAAATGATTCATTTTTATTCCATTTGTTGCAATGGTTATTCTTGGTGTGGCATGCTTTATTTTGCTTCTAAATTATTCCCTCTGTGCAATGGAATGGCCGGGGTTACCATCCACTGACGACGAAAGTTTCCAACGCAGGTCAGCAACATTGCAAGACGTGATTGCCCCCGCTGCACCACACAGCACACAGAGGTTATACTAAGATACACAGAGATACACACACACGCTACACACTTGCGCAGATACATACAGACGCATACATAATATGCACATACAATCATAAGCACATATGTACGTATACATAGACACACACATGCACACACACACAAATACACACACACAAACACACACTCACACACACACACACACACACACACACACACACACACACACACACACACACACACACACACATACATACACACATACACAAACACACACACACACACACACACACACACACACACACACACACACACACACACACACACAACCAAACTCACAAACATACACACACACAAACAAACACACACACACACACACAAACACACACACACACACACACACACACACACACACACACACACACACACAAACAAACTCACAAACACACAAACACACACACACACACACACACACACACACACACACACACAAACAAACTCACAAACACACACACACACACAAACAAACAAACACACACACAACCTCCCCCCTTCCCCCGCCCCCTACACAAACCCTCGAAAGAATGATAATGAACCTAATGATTAATGACAGAGAGATCAATAGACGAAGACCTTAAGGGACAAAAGTAGAAAACCTCTTTTTAAGGAGAATTTGAAAACAACAGGAAGATTTTCATAACTCACGCTCGGTCGCTGATAAATAGAGGGAGGGGGAGGGGGTAAAAGGGGTGGATAAAGGAGGGGAAAAGGGAAATGGGTGATAAAGGAGGGGAAAAGGGAAATGGGTGATAAAGGAGGGGAAAAGGGAAATGGGTGATAAAGGAGGGGAAAAGGGAAATGAGTGGCAAAGGAGGGAAAAGGGAAATGAGTGGTAAAGGAGGGAAAAGGAAGAGGGGGGGAGGTAAAGGAAAAGGGGGAAAAAAGGGGTGGATAGTAAACAGAGGATAAAGGTATGTAAAAAGAATGGGTAAGTGGAGGTGTAAAGAGAGGGAAAAGGGGAGAGAGTAATGGTAAAAAGGAAAGGAAAGAAAGGGAAAAGAAAAGGGAGGTAAATGTAAGGAAAAATTGAGGAAAAAGGGAGATAAAAATGGGAAATAAAATGAGGGAAAAGGGAAAAGGAAAAAGGGAGGAAAAATTAAAGTAAAGAGAGAGAAAAGGGGAGGCGGTAAAAATAGTAAAATGGGAGGTAAAGAGAGGGAACTTGGGAAACGGAAAAGGGAGACAAAAAGGAAAGTAAAGAGAGAGAAAAGGAGAGAGGGTAAAAGGTAGTAAAAAGGAGAGCAAAAATCGAAGTAAAGGGAGGAAAA